TGACTGTACTTTATCTTGTAAGGACAAAAAAATGGTTGACCTTGTTTACTACAGGCCAAACGCTGTATAGCATTATGTTGGAAGAATGTTGGGTGCCCTTCTTTTAACCACTGGTTGAATAACTTAACATTGAGTTTGGCTCTTGAGAAACTGACCTATATTGTTAGAATGAGGGCTTCTGAATTTTACAACATTTGGAAGATATTTCTGTAACTGTTAAGGGGTGGAGATATGGAGGAGGCAGTGGGAGAATAAGATAATGAAAAATGTCTGATTTGTTGTTGGTAATGTACGCTGTAACCTACATCAAGATTTTTTTTTTATTTTTTTTTTTGCTATGTACATTTATTTATTTATTCATTTATTTTGGTCCTTTCAGTATTATTAATATTTTAACTATTACTTTCACTACTGCCATATGTTCATGATGTTTTAAGTGTTGGATGTCGTTGTACTAAAACAAAAAAAAACAATAAATATATGTTTAAAAAAAATGTCAAAAATTTCTTGAGATAATTTTTTTTTTTTAGACAAACTTAAATCTTTCTGTTTTAAAAACAAAAACCTTTGTATTTCAGAAACTGTTCGAAGTGAGCTGTGAACCCAATTTTTCATTATTTAGCTGCTAATTCCATTGTTGAAAATATGAAATTAGTATGTTTTTCACAACAAAAAAAGTATATTATCATTCTTTATTATTATTATCATTATTATTGTTTTTACAGTGTTCTTGCCAACCATCTCCTTATCTGTGGAATCTGTCGGTATAGTGGACTACAAAGACCTACTATTAATATATTCATATATGTTTACAGCTATCTCTGAGTACCATACACAATTATTCATGTGTCCATTGTGTTTGGGGGATCAGATTTCCTGAGAGCTCTAATAAAGAGTCAGATTTGATTTTATGATTAGCTTTTCCACCAAATCTCACCGGTCCGGTGCAGTTACAGTTTCCTTATTTTCAACCCAATTTCTTTCCACTTTTGGCTCCTGCAGCCATCATATGTTTGTTGTTATTATTAACTTCAAGCAGCAGACATTTAGCAACTTTCAATTTCTGTCAGTGTGTTTGATCAAACTGTGTTCGTGTTTGATCAGCAGTATACTTGTTCTTTGGTAACTAATAAAACACACAACATACGACATACAAACTTAGATAAATGTCAGTGTGTATATCTGTATGTCCATGATGAAAATTGAGCAGAATGTTTAGTACAGTTCAAAATTGATCAAGGGTTTGATATACAGTTAAAGAACAAGTTTTCACTTGATCCTGGATGTACTATTACATTTCATAAAGAACATCTAAATTTAAAGACAGAGGTCAAACACCCCTACGTGTCTCTACAGTATTTTAGCATCACGGGAGCCAGGCTTCAGTATCTTTAGTGTCATGATGAGTCTAATAGATTTTCTGAACCAGGGATAGAAGAAGGCATAAATTACAGGGTTCAAACAGGAGTTAAAATGCGCCAGCCAGATCTCAAAGGCCGCAGACGAAGCATCAATTGACGTGTCTTCACCTGCCAGAGCAGGGTAGTAGTATGGGCAGAAACAGAACAAAAACACAACTATAACAATACCCAGAGTCCTGGCTGCTTTCATCTCTACTTTCCTCACAGTTACTGTCCCTGAACGTTGTGCAGCTGCAACGTGAGACTGCAACACACGAGCCTGAGACACAGCCACCACAAATACTCTCATATACAGAACTATGATTACAGCAATGGGTAGGATGAAGGTGAAAACAAGGTCAATAACTCCTGCAACGTAATTGATCACAACCACACACTCTCCGAGACAGGAGTTAGACCTGCCTGGCTGTTCCAGGTGATCATGTAAAAGGACAATCCTAAAGAAAACAGAGAAAACCCAACACAAACAAACACACATTTGTGCTCCTCTCTTAGTGACTTTGGTGGGGTAATGCAGAGGGTCACAAATAGCTATGTAGCGGTCAATTGATATGAGTACCATGTTCGCTACCGAGGCAGAGGTAATGATGTAGTCTACAACATAATACAGAGTGCACAGAATGTCACCAAGGTACCAGCAGGCCTCTATGTAGATGATTTCAACCGGCATCAGCAGGAGGCCCACAAGGAGGTCTGAGGCAGCCAGAGAGAGGAGGAGGAGGTTGGTGGGGGTGTGGAGCTGCCTGAAGATGGAGAATATCATCACTATGCATGTTGTAATCATATAGCCATAACAAGATATTTCATTACTTTCTTTAAACAGCAGCATTGTGTTGAAATGCAAGAGAGAAATGGAACGGAAAACAAATGCATTGTGTTAATCACTGTCACGCAACCACAACATAGCTTTAATGTCTAAGTGATAACTTGTATGTACCACATCAAAACAATGTGTCTTTATAGGTCAAGTTATAATACAAATTATAACATTATTGTATCTGCCTGAAGTGGGAGATGGAGATGATGACCAGCAGGTTAAGAGCCACAGTGATCAGAGAAATAGAGGAAAGCAGAACATAAATCAGCATGGCTTCAGTGTGAGGATGTGTGGGGGTCTTGCAGGAGGTGTTCAGCTGTGGAAAGCAGAGTTCAGCTCTTTCCGTGTTCTCCATCGTCAGACCAGGAAAGCTGCTGAGCTCTGGTAGCTTTCTGGCCAGAACCCTTGGTCACACAGCCCTTTTAGCTTTTATCTCCTCCCTTTGCCTCCTCCACACTGCAGCTCATGTTTTCTTACGGTTTCCATGGGTGTTGTCCCTGTGAAACCACCTTTGTGTCATGTCTTCCTGTCTGAATATTTCAATAATATTCAACAGTTAATTCCTAAAGCAATATTTATCAGTTTTTTTGGCCATGTGGGGGCAGAAATGTATTTATTTAGCTGTCTTGTGCACATATAATAGGTGACCATCTGTTAAATATAAATCCTGTATTCACTGTCCTTTAGCTTTGTTTGGTCTCCATCAACTCCCAAGGAAATGGAGTACTGAGACATGATTAGCCTGGGGGAGGATGTAGCTGTCAGGCTGGGTAACCGGATAATCTGAGGCCTGGCTTTGGGAATTGCACCTGTGGCTGGCTGCAGCATTCCAAGGGCAAAAGTGTGTTTAGGGCCACAAATGGTGCTTTTCTGTTTCCCCTTCCTTTTCTTTTCTTTTCATCATCAGGCCACAGCTGATCCAGAGAGACCCCTGGGATCGATCATCCAGGATGTCACATTTCTCTGCCTGACAGACTCAGAGCTAATCTATCTTGCTAAACTATCTCACCAGGTATGTTCTCATCCACCAGTTTTTAATGCACATTTTCAGCTTGCACATATAAAAAACCTGAGTGGAAAAATCAAGTGTTTACACTTGGCTGAGGTGGAAAGGTTCATTTATAGCAACCCTGTTTCCTAGAAGTTACATTTATATACAACTAAATTGTTCTCATAATTACATTGTGGTGGCAAAACCTACCAGGATTCTGTTCGGAGACAAAACATTTTGAAACACTACATAAAGTGGTGGATTCCCAAGTAGGTGGATGGTAGGCATACAAAGTGCTTATTTAGGTGGAATACATTGTCAGTCAACATTTTACTGACATCTATAGTATAATAAAACTGCTGTTGACATTTTTTCCACATTCCACATTTATTTTCCATGCCAGGAATTATGCCTGCTTGGTTCAGGTGGATAATGCCATAGACTAGAGAAGAAAACCACCATAGGCAAACAAATATTTCAAAGGCATCTCAGTTGTTGTTAATTAATTGTATATGTTTTAAACCATCAACTCTGATAAATGTCACCAATTTCTGTAAATTGCTTGTTAGTGGTATCTTTGCATAAATCTTATTATCTTTATTATTATTATTTACTCAGCTCATTGTTACAGTCACTTTCCAAAGCTCAGGACAAAAGATGGATGTTGGAACGTACTGTAGATCGACTATTAAATCAAGGGCTTTGCCTTATGGCTCAGCTTCTTCTTCACCACAGCAGTCCGGTACAATGTGAGGATTACTGACAATGAGGCGCTCTATCTTACCCTGACTTATGAACAAGACCCCATGATACTCGACTCCTTCACATGGGGCAGCACCTCACTCCCAACCGGGGGCCAGTTGCATAAAACTCTGAATAAAGTCACAACTAAAACTGTGTGTATGCTCAAAGACAGAAACTACAAACTGGCTTTTCCATGGAGTCTGCCATGTTGAACCACCATGTTTCTAAAGTAGCCCAGAAGGGACAAACCTCTTTTGTCCACCTCATCATATAACCTACAGTTATCTCTTAAAAACTGTTTGTATGCCTGGTTTTTGTGTATACACATCCTTTATACATCTGGCCCCTGGAGTGAGCCATCCACTCTTTTGTGCGGTGGTCTCAGACTGACTGCATACTGGAAACTGTTCCTGTACTATATGCAGGGTTCAAGTTACATGGGAGGCAGTGGGAGCTGAGCTGCCATAAGGAGGGGTCAGAGTTCCCATGAAAGCAAAATCATAAATCTATGGGAGTCTCTAATACATTACCACAACCATTATTTTAGTGACAAATAATACATATTTCAGTGTAATGATTATTATTCCCTTTAACTACTACTACTGCTTGCTTCGTATTGGATCCTCCCACTAGTGGAGGGCTACATAGTGTGCCTAGGACAGAATTCTCTCTCCCTCTCATGAAAAGCTGAATGACATTCAGAAAGTTGATTTGGATGAATTGCCCCTTGA